GATATGACAATCCTAAATTTTTAAACTTTTACTAATAATAGACTATCAAAATGTATAACACAATAATTGACCAAATGCAAAGCAAAATAAAAACATTCCAAATAATGGGGATTTAAACTTACCTCTTTATAAAACTGATGTGGGAATCAGACAAAATAATCACTAGGGAGATAAAATGTGAACAACTTTATCACAGTCTTGACATATAGAAAGCCCTGCAGCCTATACCTAAAGAATATGGACTGTTGTAAGTAAGTGCATGAAACCATCACCAAAGTTGAATATATTCAAAGCAAAAATGTTAATTTCAATAAATGTTAAAGGATTAAAATTATACAGATAGTTTTCTCTGATCAAAGTATAAATAGCCAGAAATACTTTTTAAAAAACTAGGAAGTTCCCTAAGAGTTTTGAAATTAAGTGAGCAATAAATTATATTGAAATTACAAAATATATAGAACTGGATGATAATGAAAATAATAATTATAATGTTTTTTCTTAGATGAAAATCTGCAATGTTTAATGCATACATAAGAAGAAAGGTTTAGATCAATGATTTAAGCTACCATCTCATGAAGTTAGATAAACAAGAGCAAATTCTACTCTGTGACATTAAAAAAAGAGGAAATAATTCAGACAAAAGCTTATTTAATAAAGAAAGAAGAAACATAAAGAAACTCAGTAAGAAAAAATTTAATTCTTGAAAAACTAACAAAATTGATAAACTCAATTAAAAAGTAAATTATATTTCTTTATAGTAATAATGAACATATAGAAACTAAAAAAAAAGGAGGTAAGAAAGAAAAATATTCATGATTGGCCTACTAAGAAAGTTAAATACTTTGGTAGACACTTAAAAAAAAAAAAACCACGCGGTGGCTCACGACAGTAATCCCAGTGCTTTGGGAAGCTGAGGTAAGAGAATTGCCTGAGTCCAAAGGTTTGAGAACAGTCTCGGCAACTTGACAAGACCTCGTCTCTTCAATAAATCAAAAAATTAGCTGGGCGTGGTGGCTCATGCCTGTAGTTCTAGTTACTTGGAAAACTGAGGAGGATCACCTGAGTTCAGCAGGTCAAGAGTGTCATGGCCATGAGCGTGCCACTACACTCCAGCCTAATCAACAGAGCGAGACTCCAACTCAAAAAATAAATAAATAAATACATGCTGAAAATTGCAAAATGGTAATGATAAAAATCAAATTTCTAAATAAATGTGAAGAAAAACCTTTTTCGACAAATATTCCTAGAGCAAGTAGATATAAAAGGTAAAATCATGAGCCTGTAGTAAAACCTCAAAATTTACACAAAAATTAGATCAAGATAAACCATGAACCTATATCTAAAATATAAAACTATACAAACGTTTAGAAACAAAGACATAATTGTGCCCCACATCTTTAAAATAATTTTTTTAAAGCAAGCCATAAAAGAAAATTTCGAGATCTAGGGCTAGGTAAATTGTTCTTAATCTTGACACAAAGATCATAATATCGGCTACATCATGATCAATAAATAAATTTTACCTTAAAAGGTAAAATTGTCAAGTCAGGTCCTATCCAAATCAAAACTCTTTATTCTGTGAAAGAAGATATAAAATGAAGAGACACACTACAGACCCTGAGAAAATATTTTTTAAAACATGTATCTGACAAAGGGCTAGTAACTCAACACTGCACTATTTAAAAGAACTCTCAATATTTAAAAGGGGGGAGGGAGGAGGGAGGGAAGAAGGAAGGAAGGAAAATTCAAGTAGAAAATGGGCAAAAGACATACGCAGACATTTTACAGAAGAGGATGGCAAATAAACGATGTTCAACATCACTAGCAATCTGCTAAATGCACATAAAGACCATGAGCTGGCCAGGCTCCGAGGCTCAGCCTGTCATCCCAGCACTTTGGGAGGCCGAGGTGAGTGGATTGCCTGAGCCGGAGGGTTTGAGACCAGCCCGGGCAACTTGGCGAGACCTCGTCTCTACAATAAATCAAAAATTAGCCGGGCGTGGGGGGTCATGCCTACCTGAAGTTCCGGCTCTTTGGAAGACGCGGTGGAAGGATCGCGGAGCCCAGCAGGTCGACGATGGGGTGGCCGTGAGTGTGCCACTGCTCTCCAGCCTTGGGCTACGGAGTGAGACTCCAACTGGCAGGGGAGGGGGGCGGCGTGTATCTGACAAAGGGCTAGTTACTCAACACTGTACTATATAAAAGAGCTCTCGATATTTATTTATTTATTTATTTATTTTTGAGTTGGAATCTCACTCTGTCACCCAGACTGGAGTGCAGCGTCCACGTAGCTGGAACTACAGGCGCGCGCTACCATGCCCGGCTGAGTTTTTGATTTATTGTAGAGATGAGGTCTCGCTGCCCAGGCGGGTCTCGAACCCGCGGGCTCAGGCAATCCACTCACCTCATCCTCCCAAAGGCGTGGGATTACAGGCTGAGCCACCGAGCCCCGCAGCTCTCAATATTTAAAAAGAGGGAAGAAGGCAGGACGGGAGGGAGGAAGGAAGAAAAAATTCGATTGGAAAATGGGCAAAAGACACACGCATTTTACTGAAGAGGATGGCAAATAAACGATGTTCAACATCACTAGCAATCTGCTAAATGTACGTTAAAACCACGAGCTGATATCACTGCATACATATTAGAGCAGCTGAAAAATATGGGAACACCACCAGATGCCTGTTGAGGATGCGGACATTATGGGTTACTTGCACATTGGTGGTGGGACTGTAACACGGTACAACCAGTTTGGTAATTTCTTTCAAAACTACATATATGATTCTATGATCCAGCAATTGCACTCTTGGATATTTATCCTAGAGAAATGGAGACTATGTCCACACCAAAAAACTTATAATATAAATGTTCATAGCAGCTTCATGTGTTATCTGACAAAACTGTTATCAGTCAGTTAATACCCTTAACCTGGGAAATGGTTTTGTATTTTGTGGTACATTGGAATAAACAAAAACTGGGGTGAGTCTCCAGGAAATTAAGTCAAGTGAATTAAGCCAACGTCAAAAGGCAAAACATTGTGTGATTTCATTTGTGTGATTTTTTAAAATGAAAAATTTAGAGATGGAGACAGATTCGTGGTTGCCAGAGGTCAGGGACAGTGGAAGAACAGGCACTCGCAAGAGACAGGACACTGTGGTTTTCAAAAGGCAGCACCAGGGAATTTGGGGAGAATGGAGCCTGTCTGCATTGACTACCGTGGTGGATTCAGGAGTCTAGACATGTTTTGTAGTTGTGTAGAGCCACGTATGCACACTTTACACACACACAAAGTACAAATAAAACAGGGACCATATGAACCAGAGTAAGTAGATTCCATCTATGTCAGATGGTAACATTTGCAAAATCTGCAAGATAGGCTATTGACAAGATAGGTAGATAGCATCAATTACAAATGTTACCACTGAGGGAACTGGGTAAAAAAAAAATACTTGTATCTTTTTGTGTTATTTCATACTACTGCATGTTTACCTATAATTACCTTAATAAAAAATTCAAGAATGTAAAATATTAATCATCCACTACTTGTATTTATGTACACTGTGATTTCTATATAGCAATTAAAGTAAATAAAATATAACTATGAAAAAACAACATGAACACATTTAAACAACATAATGTTGGACAAAACATTATACATAGTATGATTCATGTATAGGAAGTTTTAAATAAACAGGTAATTCTCATCTATGCTTTGGCAAGGTAGGAGGAATGAGTGGTGACCAGGAGAGGGCACAGGAAGACTTCTGGGTGGTGATAACTTTCTAAGTGTTGATCCGTGTGTTGGTTTGCTTTGTGAAAATCCACGGAGCTAGACATTCCTGATCTATGCACTTTTGGCTTGCTACACTTCAGGAAAATGCATGTGTAGGGGTGAAAGAAAAATCTGTCTTCAAACAAACAAGCAAACAAAACAACTAAACAAAAAAGAACAATCTTGCTAACAAAGACAAATCTTCTGAAAGAAAGACATATTTAGTTACCGTACATCACTCACTGAAATCTTTTCATTTTAATTTGTGTGTGATATTGCACAAGTTACTTCACACATAGTGATGGATGCTCATCTTCCTATCAAGAATCGGGTGCTCTGTGTTGCACGCGGCGAGAGAGGTGGGCTGATAGACAGGTGATATGATTGACGGGGCAGATCATGTGTTCAGAGTCCCAAGACTGCTTTACTGAAAGCCAAGCTTCCTATTTGATTAGGGACATTTGTTTTGGTTGAATTGATTTTTTTTCTTACACTTTTTCTATTTCAGCATGCTCTTCTGTCAGTGTGTTGCGTTCAGTCAATGGATTTAGTGTTTCTTTTCACTGGCTGACAGCAGCTCCTGTGTGACTGTTTTGTTAATGCACAATGAATGCTTCACTGAAACTTCCATTTGGTGTGACCTGGACATTAATATGCAGAGGGAAAGCTCAACAAGCGCTGCCAAGTCTATTTCAACGATGCATGCTGTTCTTTTCAAAATTCTTTTAAAGTACAGTTACCTATAATATATTTTTAAATGAGAGTTTGTGATAAAGTTACATGATAGCTTTAGACTAGACAATCCAAGCATTTTGTGGATGAACCAGTCCATTTTCTTGTCTTAAAGACACTTTCCCTTTGTTGCTGTGGTGTTATATAACCACAGAGCAACCTGGTCTACCCCCACTCCCATAGGATGACCAACTGTGCCATTTTTTTCCAGGACTATCCTAGTTTCAACATTGCAAATCTTGCACCTAAGGAAGCTCCTCAGTTCCAGGCAATCAGGATAGTCGGTTGCCATTCAGGTGATTTTTAAAATAAGAGATACAAATACAGTCATTGAATAGAATAACACCAGTGATGTTGATGTTTAAATATGACTATAAGTTACAAGTGCTTATAGATTCTTTGAAGGAGTGTCTTGCTATGCATAATACCTGAGATTTGGTTTTTAAAGTTGATATATGTGTTGCCTTCAATAAAGGTTTGACCTTTCTCTCCTGTGTAGTCTCACAGGGTCCAGCGTCCCTGACCTCATTGTGAGTATGAGCAACCAGATGTGGCTACATCTGCAGTCTGACGACAGTATCGGCTCACCTGGTTTCAAGGCTATTTACCAAGGTATGATGGACACACACCTAATGGGGTAAAAGCCAGTGAGGGCAAAGATCATTCTGTGCATGTTAGACCTGAATGCCATCCACACGTCATGCTTATAGATGCTTATAAAGAGAGACCATTGTTTGCAGTTTTCTTAAAGACTACTTAAATTCTTTTTGCAAATGAGAATTTTTATTTTGTGAAAGCTTGACTTGCCAGCATATGTGCTCTGGTTATGTTAAAATAAAAAAAATGAGATGAAGTATAAGCTGTGAAACACGTGCATACTTGTGGATATTTTGACTATATTATATTGATGTGCATTTTTTACAACCATCTCTTTTTAATTAGGAAAGATTTCAGAATATGAGTAAATGGATTAAAAATAATATGATGAATCTGAAAAGTCTTACAGTTGAAATTTCCAAGCCAATCCCAAATATTTAAAATGAAAGGTCTGTACCTTTCATTGTCTTTGAGCTATTTTATAACTGCAAGTCATGAAAAATGGACAGCGCTGCAAATAATTTCTGACCACTGAAATGCAAAGGAACTTCCTATGGAAGAGATGCAATTGATTATTGCTCTGTGAATACTGAATACTTTCGAATCTATTAGCAAATTCATTCCAGTGTTTCTCATGGCCTATTAATGTGTGTTCTTCGGATTTTCTTTTGAAATAGATTTTAAAACATCATACTGGTTTCTTTATTAATTATTTAGTTTCTACAAATATTTGACCTTATGGTTGTGCATGTGTACATGCAAATGAGAATATTTATCTGGAGTTGTTGGAGTTTTATCTTATTCCAATTTGATTTTTTACTTTCAATAAACAGACAGTATGTGTATATTGTAAGAATAGTTGCGGTAACTGAAAACAAATGTAACAAGAAGTTATTGCTTAGGAAGCCAATGAGGGAAATAACAAGAAAGTATCCACCAATCTTCAGCATGGAGGGTGATGTTGTCAGAAGTTCATGTAAATGAACACCAAACGCATGTCTGCATGCTCTCCACATGACTTAAAGGGGTCCCAGTGTTGGAAGATCCTGTGGCGAGAGGTCCCAACAAGATGTCATCTACGACGTATGAAAGAAGTTCTTCCTTGCTGGACACTTGGGGTGTAGAAGAGACTTAATGACTCTTTTAAATAAGAAATGCTTCAAGAAAAAATTCCATTTGCATCCAATTCAAAGGTTAGGACTATAATGCAGAGATAATTGCTAAATACTTCTTGACATTTGGATTTTTAGACCTGACCTTTAATTGAACTTCTACATGTCTGTACAGTTATTCAAGAAAGCATGGTAGAGGTGTAATATTTTCCACATGACCTATATTTGCTACTGCCTTTGGTAGAATCCAAAAGCATCAGTGAAATACCAAATACTTCCCAACAGGGCAAATTGCAGTAAATTAATTCCAGCACTATTAAGATACACATCATAAGGTTTATAGGACAAAGAATAGACAAGCCTCATTCCCAAACTGTGAATCTTTGACTATTAAGAGATGTAAGTAATCTCAATTAAAATGTAAATATTCTTCCATGTGTCATATTTCAGTTTGAAAGACCATACCACATTAATTATAATTACATTTAACTCTAATTAGCATACTGTTACCAGTCTCAATAGACTTTTAATAGCCACAACTTGAGATGTGAAAATGCAATTTGGCCATCAATCCTTGAGAGACTGCCAGTTCAATGCCCTGTATTACTTTTTGACAAAAGAATATTACAAAGGTTAGAAGGTAATTAAAACCAGATAAAGAATATAATATTTGAGGATTTTAAAAACTGAGAAATATATCAAAAGAAGACATTCTAAAAATGTATATTTCCTGATTAGTCAATTAAACTAAGAATTAGATGTGAAGTTCAAATTGCTTTTGAAGGAGATCCTCAAGTCTAGACACAATTGCATATTATTGTACTTAAAATACAGTGGCTTTTGAATTATATTATCAGAAAATATATACAACTTATATTTACATTCAGCCTAATTTTCCTGATTTTGATATTGTGAGATTTTAAACTAACATATAGTATTAAGGGCACAGACACCGGGGCTTACTGCCCTGGACACTAACTCAACCACTTATTAGCTGTGTGACTTAGTGTAAGTTATTTAAAGTCTTTGTGTATCAAATTTTTCATCAAAAAATGGAAGGATTATAGGAATCATGCCTGCTTTATAAATTTACTGGAAAAATCAAATGAGTTAAAATGTGAAATGTTTAAAACACAGAGTAAAGAATCAAGAAATGCTGGCTAGCTATTATTTTCATATGTGTTTTCCTTTTTAATTTTGAGACTTTTCTACAAGCAAGATTTTTTTTCATTATGTAAGTAACAGTGCTCATAGTAAAACATGTAAACCCAACAGAGGGGTGTTAGATGAATAGTAGAGACACCCCCTCATCTTCTAACTGAGCCAATTAACGTCCTCAGAGGCAATCGCTCCCCACATTTCCTTGTGTATTTCTCTAGAAATTTTCAGTGCATATAACATCATACCTGGCATCATGGTATGTCTCTTAGCCTAAAAACCCTAGACAAACTGCTATGCAAGAAACACCACATCAACTTCTGTTAACATCAATCTGAGTTGATTTCAGAGACTCCATCTTAACAAAGTAGCAGTACATTTAACCTTAGTCATTCTTTTTTTTTTTTTTTTTTTGAGTTGGAGTCTCACTCTCTACCCAGATTGGAGTGCAGTGGCCGCTCCCGGCCACCGCAGCCTCGCCTGCTGGGCTCCAGTGATCCTTCCGCCTCAGCCTTCCGAGTAGCCGGAATTACAAGCATGCGCTAGGATGCCCGGCTGATTTTTTTATTTATTGTAGAGATGAGGTCTCGCTGCCCAGGCGGGTCTTGAACCCGCGGGCTCAGGCAATCCACTCACCTCAGCCTCCCAAAGGCGCAGGATTACAGGCTGAGCCACCAAGCCCAGCTAACCTCAGTCATTCTTGAAGGCCCACTTCAGCTCTCACAAACTTATCCACCCTACCTCACCAAGATGTCAAGAATATCCTGCAGTTTGTTGGGGGTACAGAATGTTTGGGAGGGAGTCTTCGAATATTGGGATCACACTTGCTTTCCTGAAATGTTCACAGTCTCTGCTACCTTGGACACTGTTGTCTCTGAGAAAAACTCCCTGAAGGACCTTCTCCTGGTATCCGTCAAAGACACACAATAGTGTTGAGGAGTCCTCCTCGGCACATGAGCAGTGTGGGGACTTTGAGTCTACTCTACCCGCCTGTGACCTCCATCACCCCAGGCTCACAGGCCTTCTTGTGTCTGTCTTATCTCTATGTGTTCCTTTCTCTGACCCTTCTGGGATATTCCTCTCACTTTTATCCCCTGAAGATGCCTAGAGAATGTATTCAATTAATGTAGTCTTTTAGAGAAGAGTTTCTCATAAAGCAACGGGACTGGGAAGCACAAAGGGGCCTGTGCATCCTCCAAAAATTATAATGTGTGGTCGGGAGACCAGAAAAGACCTCAGACTCAAATACAAAATGGGTTACTGCTGGTGAATACCCAGCAGCAAAGACAAAAACTACATTCATAGAAACAAACTGTCTTATTAGAAGTATGTTTGTGGGTTTATTATATTATATTATATTACTTATATTATATTATATGCATTATATAATGTAATATATGAACATGTGCATACATATGAGTATGTCTATATGTCTATAGCTATCTACTATGCACACACACACACACACACACACACACACACACACAGGGAAGGAGGAAAAGACAGAGACAGAGGGAGAATGTTAAATGATAATTTGCCCTAAGAAAATTATTGGAAAAAATTATATATAGTTTAAAAAAAAAGAGAACTGTTTAAGGAGATTATGTTTAGTGATGTGAAAGAGATGAACTCTGTTTGTTTAAAATCTTTTCACAAATGAAAATATTGAATTTTTTAAAAATCTGTTCAATAATCCAAATGGGGAAAAGTGTGATGTAAATAAATTATGGGAGAGCCCTATAAAGTGACCTTATCTACTCATTAAACTAGCTGTATTTGACCTAAAATATATGTATAATAAATTATATGCCAGGCTCGGTGGCTTAGCCTGTAATCCCACGCCTTTGGGAGGCTGAGGTGAGTGGATTGCCTGTGCCCGCAGGTTCGAGACCTGCCTGGGCAGCGAGACCTCATCTCTACAATAAATAAAAAAATCAGCCGGGCGTGGTGGCGCATGCCTGTAATTCCGGCTACTCGGAAGGCTGAGGCGGAAGGATCACCGGAGTCCAGCAGGCGAGACTGCGGTGACCGGGAGCGGCCACTGCACTCCAGTCTGGGCGACAGAGTGAGACTCCAACTAAAAAAAATAAATAAATAAAAATAAAAAAATGAATAATATGCAAATTATCTAAATATTTGGGTTCAACCTGTACATGATCTATATGTGATTTATATATTTATAAATCAGATATGTAATATATATGTAGAATTGATATAAATAACAAGTCTCAGAGCAGTATATATGGAAAGCAAATATAAGCCTAAGGCATAATTGTTTTTTTTATATACTGTTTGTTTTAAATGAAATATATATCATATATTGTAGCAGGTCATAGTTAGTCACCAGAAAAGAAAGAAAAAATCCATTCTCAACATAAGCTAAGGTCCCTCAAAATCACTGTGGCTCTAGCCTGAGGAAGGCTGACCAGACGCAAACTCAATACTTGGATGTGTTTTTCCAAGCAATGACAAGTTTGCAATCTTGGTAGTCACTCATTTTTATGACTTCTGTGTCTGTTGTTAAGTGCATTAATGCTGAAGCATTTTTTGTCACAAAAATAATGTTCAGTTAGAGTTTATCACGCAAGTTGATGAACTGCATCTTCACAAATCATGTTTTATGTAATTTGCCACAGCTATTTAAATTTTAGCAGGGGGTAAATTAAAGGAAATGTTCCCTGTGTCGTGCTGCTGGGTAGTAAAATCAAGACCTATTTTGGGCTGACACTACAGATTATTCCAGTA